GGGTTTGAATTACACTTTGATTCTTAGGGGGGTCTGCCAAAAAAATTGGCTGAGGTTGGGGTTGTGCACAGGGGTCTCTGCCAGTACCAAAGGGCTGAGGCCAGCGGCAGCTGCAAGGAGCTACTTCCACCGCCACCTGGCCTGCTTAGAAAGGTGGAGGATGGGCTGGGGGCTGTGTGTGGTGGTGCATGGGCTCCAGGCTGTTGCGGGGGGTGAAAAGGGGTGCTGACCATCCCATGGCAGGGTTTGCATCTGTTATGGGAGGGCTCTCATATCTTAGGAGCCCCCGGAGCTCCTGAATAATTCAGACCCTGGCTGTTACTCTTAAAGTGGCAGCAGTAGCTGGGGACTGTTTTGGAGTTTCTGCCTCCTGGGGCATGAACTCTGCCGGGGAGGATTGGTTCTGGCACCCCTCCTAACTTGGTGCCCAGGGTGGATTCCCATCTCGCCACCCCTTTGTTACATTACTATATAGGCCTGTATTATTTTTGTTACTGTTGACAGCAACATCCTTTGTGGGCACTCCAATGTTACTCTTTTTCTATGAAATTGATGAACTCGAGCAGATTGGCTCATCAGACCTTCTAGTATGTATTGGCCATGAGGCACCCTGAGTATGGTACTCTGAACTCAAAAAAAATCCACAGAATGACAATTTTTTTTTATAGTTCATCTATCAGCCAGACTTCTTCAATGTGGGGAAAATATGCATGCACTGTACAGCTGTACTGGCAAAAATCCTTGCTGCACATGAAGAATACTGTCCTAATATGATCAATAAGGGACTTTCAGACAGTAGCTTTAGAAAGAAATAAACAAACAAGAAAAATCTCAGGGTATGCCAGACCTTTTCTTATGAAGGTTAACAAAACTAACAACTTTTTCTTCACTATTGCTCATTGTTTTGAATTTTTATATCAGTTTTGGAGTTCACTGCCTTAGATCACATTTATATTATGTTTACAGCAGTACTCTGCAGTAATGCTCGCTGTCAGGTTCCTTAACTTCAACAAATGAGCCCATTTTAATTACCCTTAAAAATATTCATTCTGATGAAAACTCTAAGGCTAATGGAATCCTTTTGGAAAATAATGGAGAAGAGCCAGTTAGAGGTGAGGGAATCTTGGGTGTACTAGAACCTATTTGATCAAATATTCAAAAACACATAAACTTTTTTATTTAAAAAACTGTATGAGAATGTTTTATCTTATAAGAATGTCTCTGTTTCTTGATTTTAGATTTCCTTAAGAAAACATTATTCAGGTAGATTAGTGGACTCCTCACTCAAATCATTAATTGATTAATAGGGCAAGCTGTGAATAATAAAATATAATACATAGCAGAACATAATAGTGAATATATTATGTGTCAACAGTTTGCTTTGCCTGTGCATCCTCAGGACTAGAGAACATCCCCATTATTTACAATGGAGAAGTAAAAGCTGACTTACACCTCCTCTACATGTGCAGGTAAAGATGCGATGTACGAGTCTCACAATTGTGCCTCCCGCCATGCCACACATGCATGCCAGCAGGCACAATTGTGAGATAGTGAATTAGATCACATCACACCATATTGCTGGTTCAGAAGGAGCTCAGTTGAGGGGCTCTGAGTTGCAGGGCACCCCATGCATACCTGGGGGCTGGAGAATCCCTGTTGCAGTGATCTCTCTGCCTCCAGGGGTGTGTAAAACCGCCAGGTCCAGAGGATCACTGTAGGGTAATCCGCCAGCCCTAGGGGTGTGGAAAACCCCTGGGGCCAGAGAATCACTGCAGGGCAATCCCCAAGTTCGGTATGTGTGAAATTCCCAGACCCTGGGGATTGCAACTGCCACAGTCCCTAGTGCTCAAGGATTTCTTAGTGGGCATGGTGCACCTCTGTGGCTGGGAGTCCTGTCAGCTGATGTGGCTCCCAGCCACAGGGAAGACCCTGCTACACGTGGAAATTAAGCTTGATAGTAACCAGCTATAAAATTAGTATACATTTTTGAGGTCTAACTTTATAGCTGGTTGGAGCTTTTTATTGTGTGATAGCTATTTGGCATGTGTAGCTGGTCTCCAGGTAATTGTGCAATTGAGCAGTTAATTGTGCAATACACCTAATGTTCAGAGGGGGCCTTACTGAATCAATCTACATGGTACATGGCAACACTATGCAGAAACACCTAAGCTTGCTCAGCACTTAATAATACCAGGACAAGAAGCAGTATATCTTGGCCTGCATTAGCTTACAGGGTTATACTGCTTTGGGTTCCAACAATACAGTTTACAGAGCTAGCCTGGCTACCTCTGCGTGTTGTTGCCTTGAAGTATATAGATTCCTGTATGAGCTGCATTGTGTGATTTAGTCAGATGATCACCTGTAAAAACTGTAAAACATCTGTACAGTATTTCTTGCACATAGGCAAAATGAATATGTATCACTTTCTCTTACCCAAAACACTTCAGCCTACATAAGTAATCAGCTACCAATAAACAATTAATTTGACTAAAGAAAACAAAACCTATGTTGGCAGCAGTTCCCCCCTTTGGAGTAATGTGCTTACTTTGGCTAAATCATCATTAGCACTAACAAATTAGTTCTTTGCTTATATTTGCTCTGGAATATAAACCAAGTGGCTAATTTATCTGCCTACTAAATGGAAGAAATCCATGTTTAAAGAAAATAGGATGAATATATTTCAGTTTCACCTGGTACATTTGGAATGTGGAAAATTAACATCTCCTGCTGTAAGACATCCTGCTGAGTTTAATATACAAGGGTGTAAGAATCCAGCTTTTAGTGCAAAGCTCATTGAGCATGGGACATACATCGAATAGCACTTCCTCTCCCAAGTCAGACTGTTTATCTACATGCTGCTTGTGCAAATAAGATTCTGGCCCTGAATTCTGTCTCTGGAAATTAGGGCCAAGATTTTCAAAGTTGCTCAGTGCCCTCGGTGCCTGTCAGATTTTCAGATGATCTCAGCTCCCATTCAGGTATCTGAGTTGAGCAGATTTTTTTTTTCAAAAATATTTGGCATCCACCAGCTCCCACTGAGTACAATGCAGGATGAGAATATTTGTGGCCATTTCATTGAAGTGTCTTAAGCTCTTTTGAATACTCACCCATAGGGATCTTCACTGTGGTCCTGTTTATTAACTTCTGTATCAATACACTAACAGGCTCTAATTTGAGTTTTATATCTAGTGGCCATACAATAGATGCACAGCTATGCTTAGCTATTATAATACACAGGCTCTAAAAGAAGGAAATTGCATGGTGTGCACTCCCCGAGAGACAGAGAGGGCACAGGGATGAAAGAAAAAAAAAGATTAACAACAAATGTCATTTATCTGAGAACAAAACATTGAGAGAGAGTCAAAAGGCTATGGCTTCACTGGCTGTATGAGATAAATACTTTTGTTACAGTAGCTTCAAGATTTCTTCTTCTCTTATACCAGTAGCAAGACAAAGTCATAATCTCAGAGCTGAGATTGTCAGGGTTGTAAGTGATTAAATAGTCAGGAAAAAAGGTCTGTCCTCCATTGTGTCGGATCCTATCTCAGATAAACTAGTTTCTATGATGGAGGAAAAGTGCAGTGGGGTTAAGTCCTCCTACTGTTTTCTGTGTCATTATGTTATATTGCACCTAAAGCAGCACCAGCAGGAGTCTTAATGAAAGACAAAAGCTGAGTGGCAGCGAGGCTATTAAGGAGGAAAGTAACAAGGGTAGGCTCATATTATTTGCTGTTTAACGGAGTGAGGAAATGTATTTGGGGCCTTATTTTTAAACAACTTCCAGTACTGCATGCATTATTTATGCAACTCTCCCATGTAACTTACATGGAGGTTATCTGTATTCATCAGCAGAGAATATTTACAGCTGCACAAGAGATCATTTGCCCTATTCACATTGGTGCACTTCCAGTTGTGAGGTACATTATTTTTTTTGTTGTTGAGTACAATGACACATAATGAGTTTGGATATCAAGTGGTGTCAGCCTGCAGTAACTAGAAATTTCTCTTCTTTGTTGCAGAAGTCAGAACTAATAATAATGCAAAACAACAGACTGCCATAAACCCCCAGTATCACTTATTATATACTGGAGGAATGTGCAGCACCAGTTTAACTGCAGCTCACTGCAGAAATTATGGACTTTTGATTCTATACAAGCATGTGCATGTTACTTGAATTTTATTTCTTTTCAATAAAAACTATTTTTAATGGAAACTTGTTGAAAATAAATTTCCTCAGTTGCAAACTGGATTGTGACACATAATTACAGAGAGCTCAGCGGTATAACTTTCTCACAGATCAATACTATTAGATTCCCAACACAATTCTGTCTTTGTCTTTGCTGATATAAATGAAGTTCTCATGTCAAATTAACTCAGCTGGGGCAGAATTCCTTATGTCAAAATTTAGACAAAGTAGTTTACCTTATCCAGCGCTCAGAAATTCATAGAATAAAAGAAAAGGAAAAAAGAAAGCAATTTAGATTACTATTTTGTCACAGTATGAAATAAGCACGAAACCTTGTTGAGATTTTAAAAATTGTAAATATGCAGTAATTTTCTTTAGACTTCACAAACCCATTTATACATGTTTTCAAGTATTTTGTTTATTGCACTGTTGGTGCAGCAAAAACTCTTGAAGTCTATGATATATATATATATATATATATATATATATATATA